CGAGGTCATTTTAAGTCGAATCTAGCTTAAGTCAGGTCACTTTCAGGTCAAAAAAGGTCAAATTTTGAAGTTTAAATTTTTCAACAAAAAAGGTGTCTATTGGATGCAGTTTGAGCTCAGGAACACGATGGTGCTATTTATATTAGTGTACAACGTCAAATAGGGGAAGCGGGGGTAACACCGCCCCCCTAAGCTTTTCGCCAAAATGAGAGAATATGTGTGAAGTCTCTTAGTAGTTATTGTCTTGATTACAATATTTAAACATTTTCTCACGTGTTTTAGGCACTTATTTTGCATGCTCCTAAAAGGTTTTCATGTATCACGACTTTTAAAAATACCTTGCATGTTTGCCGCCTACAAATTGTGTGGGTAACCCCGCCACCGGTGTTGATGATAACCCAACCCATTCCTAAGAAAGCTTTTAATTGTTCAGAGATCGCGTGCGATGAGTTTCCTGTCGGTAAGTGGTAATTTTCGCAAATAATCGGTAATGGACACCTAAATAGGTATAGGTACATCAGCTTTTTGCCAGTTTTATACAGCTGGCAAGTGCTTGGTCGGGATGCATGAAAAATACAGGGTGATCCAAAAAAATTGGAACCCCTAAATTAAAATGTCTGTAAGTCAGAAAATTTTCAATTTATTGATAAATTACAAACACCATTAGAAAGAGCGTTCAATTCTCTATAAAACCAAGTTGATTGTACTTACTTATTATTATAAATAGTGCCCTAGACATATTCCTATAAAATCTGTGTCACGAAACTCAGTGAAACGGTTTTGAACATTATGCGCAAATCAGTGATAAACGGTTTGCTGTTCTGACCATGTCGCTTGTTGGAGGTTCATGAATAAAAATAGCTCATTCACGTGCTATTGTAAGGAAAGGAAAGGCTGACAGCCTGCTGGGACCAGTTGTCCCAGAGACTGCTGGCCCGCGCAGTTGGAGCTGTCCCCGAGCAACTGCAGGCCTGCGCGACGGCCCCCGGAGCTCGCGTTGAGCACATGCTGTGATGAACAGCGGAACCTAGGACGCGTGTATCTGTTCTACTATGTGCTTCTGTGTAGAATTTAATGAAATAAAATTGAATTTGAATGTGGTATTATTCGCAAAAAGACAACAGATAGAATGCTAACGGATTTCAGCGCATTGTAAACATTTGGCAATTTCGTTTCACTCAGTTTTCTGACGCTCATTCCAAAAGCTAATAGTGTGCCAATGCTGTACAACATACATGCACCAATTTGACGTGATTTTATGGTGGATTTAATGCTCTTTCTAATGGTGTTCGTAATTTGTCAATAAAATGAATACTTTCGGACTTATAGACATTTTAAGTTAGGGGTTCCAATTTTTTTGGATCACCCTGTATAAAGTAAAAAATCAAAGAAGCTGCTTATTCCCGACTTAGGAACATCTACGAACATAAAAAAGCGTCTCTTTGGGAGTTTCATCACTTATCACGCTACGAACAGGAAACACCGCAACCTCAATCGGGGTAACACCGCCACGGGGTGGCGGCGTTCCCCAATAAGTGATCATAAGCAAAAATCGCCAGCGGCAAGAATGTACTACACGGTTCAAGCAAACTTATCTTACTGGACAAAGCCGATCAATTATTTTTCGATGTAATCAAACAAATCAAAATGAATCTCTTCTTAAAGACATTCAAAAGTGCTCCCAGCTCATCGAATTTTTATAAGAGAATGTACATTTTTCTTTAAATGCCCACATTAAGCTTCGATTACACTGAATCACCGGAACACAAATCAGAAGACGCTTACCTTCGTGCGGTTAATAGGAAATAACGGATTTTTACACTTCACATTGCATACTTTCGCCGCCAGATGGGGTGGCGGTGTTTCCCACAGTGGCGGTATTCCCCCCGCTTCCCCTACGTACTGAAAAATTGATTTGAAAAATTAATAATTGTGATTTTATTGCAATAATGCGTATAACTTGGCCATTTTTGAAGATATTTAGCTAAAACTTGCTAGAGTTAGTCATAAGCATGCGTTCTGTCACATATATGCCGTTTTTTCGAAAAGTCAGGAACTTTTTGAAAAAAAATATAAAAATATAAATTTTGAATATTATTATATAAAATTTTCGAAATTTTCAAAATTTTGAAAATCCAAGATCGCAATTTGATAGCGCAGTCAATTCTGAGTCCTTTCATGCAAAGAAATTGGATCTAGCTTAAAAACTGAGCTCTTGGGAGCGATTGCTGTTGTTCAATGTTTTGCGTCGAAATCGGCCGAATATGACGTCATTCTGACGTCATTTCCGGCCAACCTATGGTAGCTAAGAAGTTCCAATTTTGACACAACGTTTCAAATTGATGCAGCCGAAGGTACTGAAAGTTTGGCGTCGATACGTCAAGTGGTTTGGAAGTTATTGCAGAAAACGGAAGGGGGCTATGAATAGCCCCCCCCCCCCCCAGTGGAGCGCGGGTTAATGGGTGGCGGAGTAGAAAAAGGCTCAAATGGTTATTTTACCACTCTGGTTACTTCAACTTACAAGAGTAGAGATTAGAAGCGTACCAAACATGGATGAATAGCAGGCGCTGCTGGGTGGTTCGTCTCACCCCGCGTTTTTTCTTGTCGGAGCTTTTGACATGTCCTCCTTTAAAGGTAGTGTGCCAGCTTTCCTGGACCATATGGAGTTAATGACCCGGATAAGGAGAACCGGATGTTTAGAACTTATCCATACCTTCAAAACTCCTGGAAACGTCTAAAATTCTTCAAATTTTGAGTACTCCAGTGCGAAATTCGCCCCGACGGGTTGTCGGTCGTACCCCAACCACATTTCACACCACTATGAACAATAAATGCACACACTAAAATCGCTATTACCGAAAGGCTCATCCAATCAAGTTTCGATAAACCCGTTCATCATCATCTCCTGCGGTTTCGAACACGCCTGTTAGGTGTCTTCTGCTCATACTTTGTGGTGCGGTGGTGGTGCGTCGGGCCGCGCGCTCTGATTTCGGCCAAGAAAAATGCGTCAGCTGATCATTGTCATTTCTGACACTTTCGTGTTGTGAGATGGGGTCATAACTTAAGAAAAGGCTGTTTCATATCAATTATTTTACATAAAATCATATTTCAAATCATAAATGTATGCTCGACAGCCAAATTAAAGAAACAATACCAATACAGGCTTACAGTTTAAGTTCGACATTGTGTTGTCTACGATTAGACAGCTGATAACTCATTCCCGTACGTCGTAACTCTATAATGACCTTTGCTTATTGTCACATGTGCGCCGCATTCGCGATTGTTGCCGACGCCTGTTTGCAGGTCAGCCCACTACAGTTGTTATACATATCGAAAAACCGATAAACTTTTAGGCGAAATAGCACTATTTCAGGCCCATTTTTATTTCTTTTTGCGATATTAGGTAAAACAGGAGCTTCTTATCCTAGGAAAAATAAAATGGGAAATCATTGGAAGGTGGCACACTCCCTTTAACAGCAGCCACCACATATATTTCTTTAATGCGAACTTCAGTCTTTGCACATATTAAAAGAGAAAGGATTTAGCATTCAGAAGGCTATACAGTTATAAACAATGTTAGTTACGAAGCAGTGTAGCAAGATATGCGGCCTTAACCCTCGCCCGCACATGCCATTTTCCCATCCTAGAACGCACATGGGGGGGGGGGGTGGTTGCCACCCCCCCCGCGCCGTTTCGTTCCTGTTGGAGATAGAGCTTAGCGGTAAAGACCAAAAAGATTCTTTGGGAAGAGACGAATCCAATGATACCCAGTTTTACCTTCTCAGATCAGTCATTGACCTTCCAGGTCAGGTCAAACTAAAAAATGTTGCTGTTTTGGGTCACCGTTGGATATCAAGTGCGCTGCTTATCATATACCGATGACGATGCTGTTTTCTGGTGCCAAGCCAGCTAGAACCTCTATGTCACACTACCCGACCAGATTTTTGCTGCTGAGGTCATTTCAGGTCAAGTTAGGTCAAGGTCAATTATATGTGTTTGTATGTCTGTGTGTGTCTGTGTGTATACTGATGTGTGCAACGATTGTTTTTGTGTCCATATTACATGAAATCATGATCCGAGAAGCTTTTACTAAAAATGCAGTCAAAAAACTTCACAAAGAGTAAATTCAGCTTGCCTAAAACGCAATTATCTTCGACGACCTAGGTTGACCTTGACCCTGACCTTGACACCTGTACATCGTCGAACAACATGTTTCATGATAGGTGGGAGGTAAGACTGGCATAAAAGGCCGAAATCAAGGTGTCAAAAGCTCACAAGGCCCATGGCAAACGCAAGATGTTGAGAATTGGCCATTTGGGTCATGACATGACCTAAAAAACAAGGTCATATCTCCGAAACCAAACATCACAGAAACTTGAAATTTTCAGTGGACATCAAGAAAAAATAGAGGAGCAGTTATACGAAAAATCAGCTTTCTAGCTCTAAAAATGTTTAATGCAGAGCAGAAAGACTACCTGGGGGGGGGGTGGCAACCCCCCCCCCATGTGCGGGCGAGGGTTAAACCTCAGCTGGTCCGTCTTACCCCACTTTCCCAGATCCCCATACTCTGGATTGGTTTTAGCGTGGATGAAGTGGAGAAGTTAGTTGGTAATTCACGGTTTGAGACATCCGTTACTATTAACACTAGCACGAAACGAGGACACGCGAGGTAACAACGACATTTGAATTTTAAATTCCGAACGATGTTTCACCGAAGCCTGTGACCAATGCCGAGCAATTGCCCTAAGCCCATGTTTTGTAGCAAAATCGGCCAAACATAACGTCACTCTGACATTTCCAGCCGACCTGTGACTGCTACGAAATTCGCTTGTACCACAGAGTGACACTCCACTCCGTCCGGCGTCCACAGAGTGACATATACCACCTCGTCCACAGAGTGACATATACCACCCTGTCCACAGAGTGACATATACCACCCTGTCCACAGAGTGACATATACCACCCTGTCCACAGAGTGACATATACCACCCCGTTCACAGAGTGGCGAGCCTCGGCAGGATGCCGGAACAGAGTAACGATTACCGGGTGGTGGTGTTCGGCGCGGGAGGCGTCGGAAAGTCTTCGCTGGTGCTACGCTTTGTGAAAGGCACCTTCCGCGACAGCTACATACCGACCATTGAGGACACCTATAGACAGGTGAGGGCACACCTATAGACAGGTGAGGACACATCTACAGACAGGTGAGGACACCTATAGACAGGTGAGGACACATCTACAGACAGGTGAGGGCACATCTATAGACAGGTGAGGACACATCTACAGACAGGTGAGGGCGCATCTATAGACAGGTGAGGACACATCTACAGACAGGTGAGGACACCTATAGACAGGTGAGGACACATCTACAGACAGGTGAGGGCACATCTATAGACAGGTGAGGACACATCTACAGACAGGTGAGGGCACATCTATAGACAGGTGAGGACACACATATAGACAGGTGAGGACACATCTACAGACAGGTGAGGGCACATCTACAGACAGGTGAGGGCACATCTACAGACAGGTGAGGGCACATCTATAGACAGGTGAGGACTCACCTATATACAGGTGAGGGCACATCTATAGACAGGTGATGACACCATAGACAGGTGAGGACATACCTATAGAGGGGTAAGGGCACATCTATGTGCAGATAAGGACACCTATGGACAGGCGAGGACATACCTGTCTATATGTAGATAGGCGAGGACTGACGACAGGATCGTCTTTCTCACCACCCTGTCTGGACCGACGGTCACCTCCCCACACCGTCCGGACCGACAGCCACCTGCACCAGACATGACTGATAGACGGTAAAGCCCCCACGAGGCGGTGATCATTGGACTCCCTATACTCATATGCGTCCTGTCCCACAAGGATGAAACATTTCCGTTTATTGATGTTGTTGCAGATCATTTAGAAACAGATGTCAAGCTAAATACAGACCAAACCATGAAAGATACTTGTCAGGTGCAACAAAACCAACCTGAGACATTGAGAAAAAATGCCAACTTTATGCTAGACACAGGCATCACATACACCAGCGACCTAGAAATGGCCAAAAACGTCAGCTTTAGAATGCCAAATACCAGCATTTTCGGTGTCGGTTTGGTATTGATATGCCTAACAGTAAGCATTCGATTGACATCTCCACTTCCGCCCTATCTACAGATGGGCTCAGTCACAGCGACGCACCAAGTTGCGGTGGAATCAGTCCAAAATGCTTCGCACCTATCATTCCATTTCATGACTCTTAAATGGTCTTCGTAGACTGAAGGGGCCCAACAAAAAACAAACACATTCGCACACAAAAGACGTACGTACGTGTCCCGTCTGTCCCCGCCTGCTGCGATCCGGTTGTCCCGTGGCGTGCGGTTTGGTCCGGTCCGGTATATTTCGTCCCGTCTACGTCGCCGTTTTTGTTGCCTTGTTCCATCGTCTTCGCGCCTTGCTCCGGCTGCCAGTGCTGTGGCTGACGCCCACTCCGGGTCGACCACTTTGACCTTTATTCGTAAATGTCAGCGGTAGTGCAGCCGCGGCCTGGTGGCGCGACCAGGAGAGACTGAATTGTCATCCCCCGCGGACCGGGAGCCGCTGTGTCCCGGCTCCGTCTCACCGGGAGCCGCTGTGTCCCGGCTCCCGGCTCCGTCTCCCCGGGAGCCGCTGTGTCCCTGCTCCTCCTCCGCGCATTTTTATGACAGCGAAAATTGTGAAATAAAAGTAAAATACTATGTACATACGCGTAAAATGTACGGCTCTCCAGCAAAAGAGTGGTTGGTTAGCCTATTGTATGTGCTTTTGGTGTAATAACTTTAAATAACTGAGACACTCCTGTAAAATGACTCAACAGAAATGAGAAGAGGACTCGTGCACACCTTTTGGCAGTGGTTTTCAACAGCCATTAGACGTATTCGTCAATGCAGATCGATTGTTGTGATATTGGCAACCAACCACTTAATACCTGGAAGGCCGTACATGCATCAACTTTGAACGCAATTAGCCCAGTCGTTCTTGAGATATGGAAGCGGTACCTACCCTGCACGTGCGCACGTGCAAAGTGAGACTCAAACGGACTTGTGCGGGCACATCAGTTACTAACCTGCTTTTAACGGTGTACCACATTTTAACGCAATCAGCCTACATTTAAGATGTTGAAGCGACCTCTGCACGTGCACACTTGGCACCCCAACTGTGGTACATGGGAATGCATCACTCGGCCCATGATATGTAGTCCACCTATTGGGCAGGTTTCAGCGCAATCCGCCTAATCACTGTGGCTTCATTGTGAACAGAACATACACGCATCGGGTAACGCTAACTTGGCACTTGGTACGTGCCGTCCTGGTCATCCATATGGATGAAAAGAAGACAAGTTCATTATTTAAGGGATGGGTCGATCTGATGCAGAAGACTGCTTGTTGGTCGGTCGGGCGGTAGCTGAGATCTGAAAAGCGTCACGGGGCCGGGCCGGGCCCGGTCGCGCATGGTGATATTGTTCCGCTACCACAGGTAAACTCGCCCGCTCGCTCGCTCGGTACCTACTGAACCTTTCGTTGTCGGATTGACGGTGGTTTGATCGACTTCGACTCCCGATACGACCCCTGACTGGCTGCTATGACCCCAGACTCTTCCGTCTGAGACTTCGACTCCGAAACACGGATAAGTCTATGTAACTCAGGTGTAAGGGATTCGTAACTGGCACTGCACGGCCTACATCTACCTCAGAGCCTATATTATATTGCTGAGCATTCCATGTTAGATATGTAGGCGGACACAGCGCGTCCGGTTGGCTGTTCAGCTGCGGCCGTGACGTTTGTCCGTGCGCGGTCACCGAGCCGACGTGTAGGTAATTGATTCGGCCAACCAGCCGCACCACAAATAGAGCACCGGCTAATGGACGGCCGCCCGGCCGACGCCGCACCGGGACGGATCGTGCGCGCGCGCCGGTCGCTGGGCCGGGCTGGGGTGAGCTGCGACCGACTTCCGACGCTCCGCGACGACCGGCCGTCCCATGTCCCGGCGGACGCGACTTACCCAGGCCGGCCGTCCCATAGTCCCGGCGGACGCGACTTACCCAGCGATAGCTGCCTGTTTGTCTGTCTGTCTGTCTGTCTGTCTGCCTGTCTGTCTGTCTGTCTGTCTGTTTGTCTGTCTGTCTGTCTGTCTGTCTGTCTGTCTGTCTGTCTGTCTGTCTGTCTGTCTGTCTGTCTGTCTGTCTGTCCGTCTGTCTGCCTGTTTGTCTGTCTGTCTGTCTGTCTGTCTGTCTGTCTGTCTGTCTGTCTGTCTGTCTGTCTGTCTGTAGGTCGGTCAGTCGGTCGGTGTGTGACCGTGTATGTGTGTTGGTGCCGGTGTCTGCTGCCGCGTTGGCGGTGGTGCCCGTATGTACAACGCCGGCCGGTCACGGTCCGGGTGCTGTGCTCACAGGTGATCAGCTGCAACAAGAACATCTGCACGCTGCAGATCACTGACACGACCGGCAGCCACCAGTTCCCGGCCATGCAGCGGCTCTCCATCTCCAAGGGACACGCCTTCGTGCTGGTCTTCTCCGTCACATCGCGGCAGAGCCTGGAGGAGCTGAGGTACGCTCGACACGGGCGCGGTGCCGAGGGGCGCGGGGCGCGGTGCTGAGGGACACGGGGCGCGGTGCTGAGGGACACAGGGCACGGTGCTGAGGGACACGGGCGCGGTGCTGAGGGACACAGGGCACGGTGCTGAGGGGCGCGGGGCGCGGTACCGGGGGACACGAGGCGCGGCGCTGAGGGGACACGGGGCACGGTGCTGAGGGTCGCGGTGCTGAGGGACACTGGGCGCGGTGCTGAGGGACACGGGGAACGGTGCTGAGGGACACGGGGCACGGTGCTGAGGGACACGGGCGCGGTGCTGAGAGACACGGGGCGCGGTACTGAGGGACACTGGGCGCGGTGCTGAGAGACACGGGGCACGGTGCTGAGGGGCGCGGGGCGTGGTACTGGGGGACACTGGGGCGCGGTGCTGAGGGGCGCGGGGCGTGATACTGGGGGACACTGAGGCGCGGTGCTGAGGGACAAGGGGCGTGGTGCTGAGGGGACACAGGGCACGGTGCTGAGGGGCGCGGGGCTCGGTACTGAGGGACACGAGGCGCGGTGCTGAGAGACACGGGGCGCGGTGCTGAGGGGCGCGGGGCGCGGTGCTGAGAGACACGGGGCACGGTGCTGAGTGGTGCGGTGCTGAGGGGACACGGGGAGCGGTGCTGAGGGACACGGGGCGCGGTGCTGAGGGGACACGGGGCGCGGTACTGGGGGACACGGGGCGCGGTGCTGAGAGACACGGGGCGCGGTACTGGGGGACACGGGGCGCGGTGCTGAGGGGCGCGGGGCGTGATACTGGGGGACACTGGGGCGTGATACTGGGGGACACGGGGCGCGGTGCTGAGAGACACGGGGCGCGGTGCTGAGAGACACGGGGCACGGTGCTGAGGGGCGCGGGGCGTGGTACTGGGGGACACTGGGGCGCGGTGCTGAGGGGCGCGGGGCGTGATACTGGGGGACACTGAGGCGCGGTGCTGAGGGACAAGGGGCGCGGTGCTGAGGGGACACAGGGCACGGTGCTGAGGGGCGCGGGGCTCGGTACTGAGGGACACGAGGCGCGGTACTGAGGGACACTGGGCGCGGTGCTGAGAGACACGGGGCACGGAACTGAGGGGCGCGGGGCTCGGTACTGAGGGACACGAGGCGCGGTACTGAGGGACACTGGGCGCGGTGCTGAGAGACACGGGGCACGGTGCTGAGGGGCGCGGGGCGTGGTACTGGGGGACACTGGGGCGCGGTGCTGAGGGGCGCGGGGCGTGATACTGGGGGACACTGAGGCGCGGTGCTGAGGGACAAGGGGCGCGGTGCTGAGGGGACACAGGGCACGGTGCTGAGGGGCGCGGGGCTCGGTACTGAGGGACACGAGGCGCGGTGCTGAGGGGACACAGGGCGCGGTGCTGAGGGGCGCGGGGCTCGGTACTGAGGGACACTGGGGCTCGGTGCTGAGAGACACGGGGCACGGTGCTGAGGGGCGCGGGGCGTGATACCGGGGGACACGAGGCGCGGCGCTGAGGGACACTGGGCGCGGTGCTGAGAGACACGGGGCACGGTGCTGAGGGACACGGGGCGTGGTACTGGGGGACACTGGGGCGCGGTGCTGAGGGGACACTGGGCGCGGTACTGAGAGACACGGGGCACGGTGCTGAGGGACACGGGGCGTGGTACTGGGGGACACTGGGGCGCGGTGCTGAGGGGCGCGGGGCGTGATACTGGGGGACACTGGGGCGCGGTGCTGAGACTGACTCGCCTCAGGGCTCGCTACAGGAAGGTTGGTTGGGGACAGGATGCAATCAGTGGTGGTAGAAGGTTAGGACTTTGGAGGTGCGAGACCGGACATGGTAGCATCAGGGGTCACCATCGAGTTCGAGTGGACAGTGGTGATTGGGCAATGGACATGTGCAATATCACCTTATGATCAAGTGGAGATTTTTATGACCTCTATGATCCTCCTTCCCAGTAGGCTGAGTCAAATAACGAACACTAAATTGTTGGCAGATTGATCCGTTAAAAAAGAATACCTCGTTCGATCGGCTCACTATTCTGACAGTTTGTTATGCACGCTATTTTTATTTAAATTGCTGATGGTCATATCCAGAGTTGAAACAAAGCATGGATAGCATTATATCTAATGTTCATTAATTTTACCAATCAGTCTGGTGTTTTCTATGCGTTTTGACTGTCGCCTGCTGCCTAGTTTTGGCAGTGCAGTGCCTCACACAGTACGTGCTATTGTCTGACAATGCAGGCCAATATTCGAGGTCATCCGGGAGGTCAAAAGCGGCTCAGAGGAGGACATTCCGGTCATGCTTGTTGGAAACAAGTGCGATGAAAACGAAAACCGCGAGGTGTCCCACACGGAGGGCGAGGAGCAGGTACGTGAGCACCTGTTCGCTGGACGGGCGCCCCTTTATCCAGTCCAGTCTCCAGTCTCTGGTCCTGTTCATTGGTTAGCTCCGTTGACGCTACCCTTGCATTCGCAATGAAAAATCCAGGTAACTATTTAAACCTTTTTGCGAAATTTAATTGTCGTACTCATACTCGTACCGTTGTCCACTGTTCCGAATCTCGGGTTGGGGGGGGGGGTATCTTCCCAGGTCATACGAAACGAGCTCACACTCTTCCCGTTCGCTTTTGCCTTTTTAACGACACATCATGAAATTCTTTCATTTTTTGTCGTTACAGGCGAAGAAATGGCGGTGTAACTTTCTGGAGACTTCAGCCAAAAATAACACGAACGTCAAGGAGCTGTTTCAGGAGCTGCTGAACATGGACAAAACCCGTACCATGACTCTGCAAATGGACGGCAAGAAGAAGTCGCAGAAGGGCACACGCAAAATCAAGGAAAAGTGTGAACTGATGTAGGAAAACACAGGTGTCGTAGAGGGCGCGTGGTCTTTATACCGGCGGTCTGAGGCCGAGGGACGGCCGGGGCGCGCCGTGGGAGGCCCCGCAGTGTGCCCCGAGAGGCCCCGCAGTGTGCCGCGAGCTGGAGCGGACCGGTTGGAGGACCGGTGGGCCGCTCGTGTCGCCGGTACAAATTCCGAGGGCGGCAGCGGCGGTGCGAGGATCGCGCGGCGAGCAGAGGAGCAGAGGACAGCTGCGCGGCCGGGCCTGGCGTACGGCTGTCTCTGGGCCGCACATCTGCGTGGCCCGCCTGCCACCAGCCGCACGGACCCGACCGGCGGCGCTCGCCCAGTCCCGGCGGCCCTCGCCCAGTCCCGGCGGCGCTCGCCCAGTCCCGGCGGCCGGCGTCCAGTCCCGGCGGCCGGCGCCCAGTCCCGGCGGCGCTCGCCCAGTCCCGGCGTCCCTCGCCCAGTCCGGCGGCCGGCGCCCAGTCCGGCGGCCGGCGCCCAGTCCGGCGGCCGGCGCCCAGTCCCGGCGGCCCTCGCCCAGTCCCGGCGGCCGGCGCTCTCGGCACGCGAGTTCTGGCGGCTATGACCGGTGTCTGACCTGCGTATGCCTAAAGTTGAGGGTAGCCGAGCCGGCCTGACCTGTGCGCCCGGCTAGTGCCTCTCGAAGCCGAGTGCACGGCTCAGGTGGCAGGCCCACCACCCTGCCATTGCACACACACGAAGGCAACGATCATCAACGATACAGCCGGGGCGCAGCGAGCGCGCTCCGGTGCGTGTATCGCTGCGCCGGGCGGACTGCGAGGGAGGGAGGTGCGGCAGGCCGAGGGCCGCGCAGAGGTGGGAGTGTGTGCCACTGTTCACTCGAATTGTACCGAGGTGAGTAAGCGGTGACCCTTTCTGTCACCTGAGTTTGGTACCTACTCACAGCGAATCAGTGCTTATGTGAGACTGTGAGATGTTCTCACAATCGCAAGCGAGTTTACTTCTCACCGAGAGGTTGTTTCCGTGAAACTGCGAGATGCTCCGTAGTTTCGCAAGCCTTTTACTTAGGTCGTATTTGTCCGAGTTTCTATCAGTGGTCGCGTAGAATTCCATTGTTATCAGGTACCGCAATGTGCGGCACTGGCAGGAACAGTGTCATTGACTCCATGTGCCTGATATGATATTTTTATTTATATGAAAATTTTGCTAACTCAATCGTGCACTTACAAACAACGATTCAAAGTAGCATATCCTCTCAAGTAATGGAAGGCCTAGTAAAATGAAAGAAGCATAAACACTTATGTTTTTTTGCAGCTCCTTCAAATTATGTCGCAAGTTATCATGAGCCGCACAAATTACTCAAGTTCAGCTGCACATGACTGTTGTTCAAGCCTCGCCATGCCTCCCTTATCATTCACAGCGATTTCTGCTTAACCTGGCCGGGCCCGGGAGGGGCGCGGGGTAATCCCAACCACCGCAGACGGGGGGGGGGGGGTCGTGGGCGTAGGAACCTCACGAAAAGTGGGGGGGGGCAGCGAAACTTCATTGTCACTTTTTGGGAGCCTCAATACCCCTATGAAAATTTGTTTTGCAGTTTTGTGCTCATCTCACCTTGCTGAGCCATTTCCTGCTCTTAATGTTGCATTTAAATCAAAAATAAATATTTTACTTTGAAAAATGGCTGAAAAGTGGGGGGGGGGGCATGGGGTGCGTTTTTCGCCCCATCCCCTGTCTTACGCCGTACCTAAGGGAGCTACGGAAACAAAAGTGGTACCAAACGAAAGGTCTCTACAAGACGATTCTAAATCATCTAACTTTTTTTATCTCAGGTCAATTTTCAAAGTCACAGGTCACGATCAAAGGCAAAACCCGTTACAAGTGTAGTAATCTCAGAGTAAGTGTTCAAGAGAAGGGCAGGATGCACACCACCAGCTAAAATGGGAGTGAAACGAAAGATGGAAATCTGTTGATTCCGAAAATGTGCTCTAAATGAAAGGTCAAGGTCATGCTCAAAATTGACCTCAAACTTTTCACTTTTTCGAACATCTTGCGTACTAAATTCCAAGATGTTTTGAAATGTTTTGAGGCTTATTAGGTCCCAATGTGTAGTTCATCTTTCGGTACAAGGCTGTTCCAATGTCTAGGTCATGGGAGAGCGTCCTTGCTAGAGGCTATTTCACTGATTCAAGTTAGTAATAATAAGTAAAATAATTTTGCCATCCGGAGACTCTAAATGAACGCTGAGAGAAAAATGGATGCCAGATTCGTGATCAGCGGCTAGCTGTCTGGCGAATGCAGCTAATTTGACCAACTCTGCAGCAAATGTCTTAAAATTATCTTCATGTCATGAATTTATTTCAGTGTTTAAATCGAAAAAATGTCTGATGATTTGAAAAAATGAGGTGTATAGGCATCTGATTAGCCGAAACTGATAGCTTTTAAGAAACACACTGAACCGAACCTTATTTGACGGAATCTGCACCTTATCTGCACCAAATGCGTACCAGATGGCCGTCGTGAGTTAGTTTATGTAATAGTAAGCTTATGATTTTTGAGCGTTTCAATTTGATTTGTTGGCAAGTGTGGTTGCGGTGAGATTTCAAGCTTTTTCTGAGGCTGGGGCACTCCATAGTGACCTGACCTGAGATGACCTCAGCTTGAACTTTAAGTACAAGCTGAAAAAATGATGTATCAATAGGAACATGACCCGATTTCAGCCGTCTGTCTATGATAGCTTCTGAGTTATTTGTAAAAAAAAACGAAGGGGGGGGGGGCGTAAGCCCCCTGGCACTGCGAGGGTTGAGTTGTGTGCCACTATTTCAAAATTAGTTCGTCCACCATGTCCGATGGTTCATGCTTCGAATCCATCACAGTGTGCTATTCACTTTATTCCGTGTCAAACCAATAGCTGGCTGTTTCCTGTTGAATGCTCTGTCGATGTTTGATGCATACCGTCGATATAGTTATGTATGACAGTCGTCACTTTTGCACACGTGCATACGAGTTTGTTGTATACTGGCGTGCCGCGCACCGTGCGTGGGCTGCGGCCCGCTGTGCCCCCGGGCCCGCCGGTCTCGGCCGCCCCCGCCCCCCCCCCCCGCCCCGCCCCCGGCGCCCCTGTGATGCCCCCTCCCCTCACTGGCCGCTCCTCTTCTCCTGGTTCTGAGCTGTGATGCGCGTCCGCTATACCGGCGGCGGTCGCCCCATTTCGTCTGCCGGCGCGGTGGTGGCCGCTGGCAGTCCATACGTAGTCACATATCACTGAGAGTAGCTGGCCCCTTGTCGTGGCGTGGCACCGCAGCACCGCCGCTGCCCGTGAGCCGCGTGCTTGGTAGGCCGTTACCCCGGAGAGCCGCGCTGTTACCCCGGAGAGCCGCGCCGTTACCCCGGAGAGCCGCGCCGTTACCCCGGAGAGCCGCGCCGTTACCCCGGAGGGCCGCGCCGTTACCCCGGAGGCCGCGCCGTTACCCCAGAGAGCCGCGCCGTTACCCTGGGCAGCCGCACAGCTGGTAGCCTGTTAGCCAGAGAGCTGCTGTGTACTCGTAGGTTCAACTACCTACGCTACGGATCTGGGGTCGCATTGGTGAATCACTCTGCAATAAACCAATAACAAGACTTTGAGTGTTTTATTGGTGACTTGACGCGTGCGCTGCATGACTAATTTTTTGGGTCATTATCATTTGCTTTTTACTGTGTATTTGTTAGAAGCATGCCTTTTATTCAAAATATATAATCTAAGAAATTTCATTATTTGCATTTTACTAAATATTCCATTTGTCTGTGCCCTGCATTCGGCGCTATTTAGTGGATGTACTTAATGTTGAGTTTCAGTGCTTGTGTTCTCGATGGTCATCTCCTTGTCAGTACCATGCTCCTGGATTACTGGCGGGGGGGGGGGGGTAATCAGCATCCTACGAAGATCTCAAGGTCAACCGAACCGACTTTCAATATTCAAACGCCCATCGACAGCTTTCTACCTTATCAACAAGATGGAAAAACCAGTAAGACGCCTTTTGGAGCGATAGATGAGCGAGCGCGAGAGTGAGCCCTGCACATGCGGAAGTGCGAGGGAGCACTTTCAACTGTCTTCTGCACGGCACCATGCTAACTGGTTTCTAGCAGTGTGCCAAATTTGAGCGTAATCGGCCGAGCTGTTCTTGAAATATGAAAGCGCCACCCTGCACGTCGTGTTCCAGCTGACTTTTGCAAGCCACTATACTCGCCGGTTCTTAGCAGTGCGCAAAATTTTAACGAAATCGGCGCGTGCAGTGGCCGTTCTCGAATCAGGAAGCAGCCTCTGCACGTGAGCACGTGCAGTGGCCTCCCAACTGTGACATATGAATATGCATTGTCAGGTGGGTCACTACTCGCTCACTACCAACGTGCCAAGATTCAGCGCAATTGCTCTAGTAGTTATGCCGAGTTATTGAAGTTGATACAAAACTGACACCTTTTCTTTTTGCACGAATCATTAACATGCATTAGCCGCTATTAAAGGTAGTGTGCCAGCTTTCCTGGACCGTATGGAGTTAATGGCCCAGATAAGGAGAACCGGATTTTTAGAACTTATCCATACCTTCAAAACTCATGGAAACGTCTTAAATTCTTCAAATTTTGAGTACCCCAGTGCGAAATTCGCCCCGTCGGGTTGTCGGTCGTACCCCAACCACATTTCACACCACTATGAACAATAAATGCACACACTGAAATCGCTATTACCGATATGCTCATCCAATCAAGTTTCGATAAACCCGTTCATCATCAGCTCCTGCGGTTTCGAACACGCCTGTTAGGTGGTGCGGTAGACCACGCCCAAAGCCAGGGCCCCGGTAACGTGAGGTAGCCGAGTCAGGGCAGCGTGCGCTGACCCAAGCCGGAGCCGCGCGTCCTCCCGGTGTCATGTGATAGCCCGGGGCTGCCCGCGGGGATGCGGTAGACCGCGCCCAAAGCTGCGGCCCCGGCTTGGGTCAGCGCACGCTGCCCCGACTCGGCTTCCTCACGTTACCGGGGCCCTGGCTTTGGGCGCGGCTTCTGCTCATACTTTGTGGTGCGGTGGTGGTGCGTCGGGCTGCGCGCTCTGACTTCGGCCAAGAAAAATGCGTCAGCTGATCATTGTCATTTCTGCCACTTGCGTGTGGTGAAATGGGGTCATAACTTATGAGACGGCTTTTTCATATCAATTATTTTACATAAAATCATATTTCAAACCATAAATAATGTTCGACAGCCAAATAAAAGAAACAATACCAATACGGGCTTACCGTTTAAGGCTCGACATTGTGTTGTCTACGATTAGACAGCTGATAACTCATTCCCGTACGTCGTATGGTCGTAACACTATAATGACCTTTGCTTATTGTCACAAGTGCGCTGCATTCGCGATTGTTGCCGACGCCTGTTTGCAGGTGAGCCCACTACAGTTGTTATACATATCTAAAAACCGATAAACTTTTAGGCGAAAAAGGCACTATTCCAGGCCCATTTTTGATTTTTTTGCGATATTAGGTACAAACAGAAGCTTCTTATCCTAGGAAAAATAAAATGGGAAATCTTTCAAAGGTGGCACACTACCTTTAACCCTCACCGGCCGAGGAGGGTTAATAATAGCCCTGTGGGGGGTCACCCCCATAGGTTTTTTTCACGATAGCTCCGAACACGCTGACGATAGAGAGCTGAAATGAAAGTTGGCATGCCCGCATACCTGCCGTATGATTCAAGCCGGATCTTTTGACACCAACCACATTTTCAGGTCAGGTCGGTCACTGACCTATGACGTCATAAGTGAACTTCTGCACGGTCCTCATATGCATGTTGCAACTTCGCAACGCCCTCAGTGCCATGAGAAGAACCTTCACAGGGAGATAAAACGTTAACCTTCGCCCCAGTGGGGGGGGGGGGGCATATGTTACCACCCTGTCGCGTTTTTTTTCGTATAAATAAAACACCGCGGCGCGTAGCGCCGCGCCGCTTGGGGTAGCTTTTGGTACATCAATTTTGGACAATGTGTGAAATTTTTGACCCCAGGTCATGTCAGGTCAGGTCACCAGGTCAAGTTAACTGACCAAGCCTAAAACAGTTTGTAATCATGTCCAGCCTGCAGTGTTTGTCAGAGGTTTTAAACTTGGTGGATTACATGATGTTATGGGTGCCTACAATTTGTATATCCTGGATTTTTTTATGTGCGTGACCTAAGGTCAGGTCAGTGGCGTGACCTTTCCATTATAAGTCAATGGAGAAAAACGAAAATGCCTCTAGATCCGTGTGCACGCATAGGAACAGTCCAAATATTTCAGAATCACAATGATCTAGACCACCCGTGACGACCAAGGGGTCTTTTTTGCTGATAGCCTCTTGGAAGGTCATCCGAGGTCATTTGAGGCTACAAACAGTTTTTTGCCAATAACTCTCGATTGGAAAGAGATAGAACGCTGCGGTTGGCCTCATTGTGTTTGTCTTGCCGAGACGCATCGACTGATATGCAACATGACCTTTTCCGGTCAGGTCATGACCTTTACCTGAGGTCAAATTTTGAAGTTGACCTTTCAAGGTCAAATTATAGTTCATACGACGCGTCTTGGCGAGAGGAACACGATTCTGGCATTAGAAATGACCTAGCTTTTTTTAGTCAAAAGTTATTGTCGAAAAACACCACTTAAAAACAGCTATTTTTGGAGTTTCTGCCCTCTGGAGGCTAAACCATTGACCTGAGGTTATTTTTGATGATGACCTAATCAAAAGAAGAGTTCAAAAGCTATCGATTGCTTTTCCCAGCGTTTTTCTAGCTATCATAGTTCCTGAGATAATGGCATGTTTTCTGAAAAATATAATGACAATTCGCAAATTTTGACCTTTGATGACCTCTGGTGACCCTAATATTGCTCTAAGATGAAAAATGATCGAAATATTTTCAAACGTACGCGTTAAGAGCTATCGGCCGCTTTTTACCGCGTCTTTTTAGCGCTCTTAGTTTTTGAGTTCGAGGTGGGTGGTAACATATGCCCCCCCCCCCCCACTAGGGCGAAGTTGGCTGAGACCGCCACTGGGGCGCGGGTTAAGGATGTAGTATCCTCCAGAGGTCTCACAACTTGAATATGTCAGATTTTTCCTAAATGTTAGGGGAAGTTGGGGCAATGCCGGAGTTGGGGCAAAGCCGAAATTCGAGATATTTCGAAAACCGTAAGACATGGATGCCACCTGTCAGTGATGCTCTGAAGCTTAGGTGACTACAATTATCGCATGTTTGTTACGAGTCGTCATTCGGAATACTTCGGCTGTTAGGGCGCCAGGAGCGTTTTCAAGGTACGCGTTCTTGTACTACATGCGCCTTTGAAGCTGCATTTCTTACTCATTATGCTACCGTTTGTCTGGCCAATTCGGTCAAGTAATCTTCAGCATGTCTTTGCATAAGTGTGCTGCCTATTTGAAATTTATACGGCACGTTGAAAAGTGATGGGCCTGCAAATGAAAGTATGGCTGGCTGGGGTAATGCCGAAAACGTGCAATTACGCACGTTAAAGCACGCTACGTGGACTTTACTGCTGTAGAATAGCAACGCGAATTTTTAGTCACACAAATTACACTTTCAACCGACACAACGGCCTGTTACCTATAAGGAATTATTTACCTGGCATTTTCTTATCATATCACACAATTATAACTTCCAGTGTGCACCAAGCGTCCTCAAGCTCTTAAAACGCGTGTCAGCTTTGATAAATTCTGGATAAAGTTTGAGATAAAGTGGCAAAACATCAATGTCGGCATTCCCCGTAGATCATTTCTACCATTTTCGGCTTTCCCCGCAGTCCGGGGCAACGCCGAAAAAGTCACTTCTTTGATATTTTTAGTTTGTGCGCTTAACGGTATGCGAATTCATCAAATGCGCCTGGTATGTTTGAAAGTCAAAAGACTGGCCTCTCGAATGACGCCAACAAGAATAGCTTATGTTGTCTACCTTGCGTGCTACGGGCGTCAGAAAAAAAGTATTCGGCGTTCCCCCAACTTCCCCTACGTGAGGTCAGGTCGGTCGCGTGACCTCACCATTATAAGTGAATGGGGAAAATGAAAACTGCTCTTTATATCATTACTTACTGGCGAAACGAATGACATGCAACATGACCTCTTTTGACTAGCTTCGTGACTTGGGGAGCGCTGACATGACCTTGACCCGTATTCAACACCTGAAGTTGACTCAACCGAACAAAAAGTATTGCCATTCGACGCGCCTGAACAAGGCGAACACGATGATAACAAAATCGCGGTTTTGCGACCGTTTTTTTTTTTTGCGAAGTTAATTATAAAAACTGAGCCTGCGCCTTGGGTCGCTTGACCTGACCTCAGAGGTCGCTGGCTGACCAGAGACCTCAAAATCGGACGCCAGTCGCTGCGTCTCGTAACGGTGCACACGCTCGTTTTTTTCGCGACGCTCTAGCTCAATCAGGGGCGAAACAGCGAAGGGCAGTCGTGCCAGCCAACTCTTCGACCGGCGCGTATGTTGAAACCAATAGGTCCGGCGAGGGTTAACACGCGCCCTGGTGGGAGGGGGGGGCTATTTTTGTCTTCCCCTCCAGCCTTTTCGATATAGATATCTCCAGAACCGCTGCGCCGATCGTCACCAA